TGATTAAGCATACCCATGATTATTACTGTTACTCTTTACTTTGGCCTGCCAGTAAATGTTGCTATTCTTGTAATCTTACTGGGATTAATTCTTTTAGCATTTTAGTACAGCAAGCAGTGAAGAAAGCTATTGATCAGTAGAAAAGACTTAATGACTGCCATCTCGTAAGTTGGCACAAATGCCTGCCAAATTAAAAGTGCCCTCAATCTGGATACATGGTATAATGGTCATCTAGTAGCTTTGTTTTATGATCAGATAAAATCTGATTGGGTAAAAGAAGAGTTACTGATCATCCTCAAAATGTACCTGAATAGAAAGTATTACCGGTAGTAACTTTTTTTTTTGTTATATGGCCATTTATAAGGTTTATGAAGTTCATTCCTGTCTGAGTAGCCAGAAGTGATTTTGTCTATGGATATAGCTCTGAATGTGTTCTTTTCTTACCAGTGAAATGTCACACTTGAGGCAGGTCTCAAAACTGAAACAACAGTAAGTACATCCTGCATCAGCAACCTACCGTACCTCTGAGATCACTATATTTGCTTCTGGCAACGTGTCTTTATTTCTCAGTTCTCAGAGATTTATTTAGGTTTCCAGTCGTGACCTGTGCTTTCCAATTTACAAAATGTTCATACTGATACTCTTTATCTTATGTTTCTTCAAAGAATAGGTAGGCATATCCCATGAGCTGCTAATATTTTAGATGGCTAAGTAAATATTAACTGAATAAATGGAATTACCTGCTGAAGGCAAGATGAGTACATAGGGACATTCCCAATCTTTCTGATAACAATGTCTGTATAATGTTCAGAGCAATCACTGCTCTTTTGTTCAGCAAAATGAATGAAACAGAGGCTGTGTAACAATCCTCCACTGAGAGTAGAGAAGATATCTACTCCCTTTTTGAAATACTATTCTTTTTTAGAGAAACAGCTCTGGGAGAAAACTGTTTTGGTTGCAGCAAAAATCAAGCATAGTTTAGCTGTCTCCACAGTCTTGTAAGCTAAATGGCTAACTTCATGAAGTGTCTTCTTTGTCTGAAACAATTTGTTGATTTTAAAAAAAAGTGATAAAAGAATTGTTGAGTGAACATTTTTTTATATCTGGGAGAAATATAGAAATTCAACTTCTAGGACTTAAAATGCTCCTGCAGCTAAAACATATAGCCCAGCAATGTCTGGAGGCCCAACTGTGAAGCCGAATTCCTCATGAAGATGATTAATGTATACAGTGGAGGTGAGTGAAAGAAAAACACAGGCAGATTAGAGAGAGCTAGTGTGGAATAGAGAGCCAATTGTTCCACCCAATAGTTTGTCAACAGTGTGGGGGTTGGGAGTAATTCAGCAACATCTGGAGGTCCCCATGTTTTCCTTATCTGGTTTAATTCATTATCTGTCACAGTGCTATCCTGTTTAATAGTAATATGAAGTTGCTGATAGTACAATAAAGAAGGCAAAAATATTAATAACTTTCTTCCATAGTCATCACACTATGCAGCCTTCTTATAGAACTGACATTTCTATAACTTCAAATGAATGATGGGCTAGAGGGGGAAAAAAAGTGCCTGAAGGTTTTTTAGCCATCAGGTTAGATTTAGCTATTACAGACAGGTTACTGTCCATATATTGAACAAAGTTAATGTTCATTTTCTATATCTGATCCATCCATTTTTCTGCAATTGTTAAAAGAAAATTGTGATGACAAAACATCCAGATGTGTTTTGTATAATCTCTGGCAAGTCAAGCATAGGTAGTTAAAAGCTGAGGTGTTTTTTTTTTTTTTTTTACAGCTGATGGATATATTTCTGACCCAAGATTTTAGCTGAGACAAGCCCTGAGAAATAAGGAAATCAGCATTGGAAAGAAATTATGAAAAAAGTTCAATTAGCTTTGTTTTCACAATTTTTGAAATCACAAGTTGATTTCTAAAATGGGTTGCAGACTCAAAACTTTAAGGAAAAGCTTAAAGTTAATTGGTTAATTTATGGAAGGTACACAGAGCTTTGAGAGAGTTTCATTTGGAAGCTAATGAAAAGCAACACTCTCTTGAAGTTCTTCATAAAACAACACACTTTTCCTTATTTCTAGAAGTGAAACAATGCTGCCATAATTTTAAGAAAACATTTGTTATAGAATTGAAAAACTTGAATCAGCTCTTTCAGGAAAGGGAAGTTTATTGCGCGCGCAGGTTCAGAGAGCCATCCTGGCTGTAGAAATCTGAACTCAGATTGTACATTGATGACCATTTTTATAACCCTTTCTGGCGGGGGTTATTCTATAGGTCCTTATTCTAACATAGAAAAACTACTAGACAGATCTATAATCGATAGCTCCTCGTTTACATTGGAATGTTTTTAGCAATCAGCAATATATCAAGTGTTAAGCAATTTAGATATACCATGTGACAGGCAGTTAGTAATATATCATGTGCAGAGCTGGGAACAGGATATCTGGCCATCCTAAATTTAAGAGTTGTCTTGTAAGCAAAACAAACCTCTCTTTTACCCACATTTTTGTTGGGCCATCTGCTTTTTATACACATCCTTTGTCGGACCAGTATTTTTCCAGGTACCACTTTATTCCCCCCTGATGAGACTTATCTCATCTATGCAGATAAGTTTCATTCCATAACACTTGGGTCTGATGTATGTATGTTGTTATACTCTTGTCTCTGGAATTCCCACATAGCCATAACCTGAGCTGTAGCTTTTCTCTCTGCAAGCAGGGACACTCGTTTAGGTAGTGTTATGTTGTGCATCATTGAAAAGGTACATTGCAGGAGACAACAGCTGCTGATCAGAATAGCCATAAGAATGAGTACTGCTCTTATGATGTTTCCAATAAGGCCTATTGGGAGCCAAGACCATAAGCTACTCCACCAATTTCCCAGGGAATCTATTTGCAGTTCTGAGGCCATTTTATGGAGTACTTTGATTTGTTTATTTATGACGGGGGATTGATCTGAGAGGTTAAAACAACACATCCCCTCAAAGGCCTCACATCCCATATGTTGGCGAAGTAAAAGATAGTCGATGGCTGCCCTATTTTGCAAAATAGCCTTGCGTAATTCTATCATCTCCTGATTGATGGCAGACAAGGCTATTGAAGTGGCATTTATAGTTTTAGCCAAGTTGCAGGCCACAGAATTTATATTGACATGGGCCCTCAGAGCAAGTGCAGGAACTCCCACTAATGAGACAGCCAAAGCATTGTATTCTGCTGCATTTAGAAGAGTGCGGGAAGACTCACAATTCTCTGTTAGTACCTCGGCTCTTTTGTATCGTGTGGTGTTAGGGGAGGTGAAAAGAGATCTATCTGGTAGAAAGGTAGTCAGTCTGCTTAGACAACAATATGATGTGCTTATGTTGGCAGGAATATAATTGAAAGTGTCTTTCCCACAAGTGAAGAACCACCCTTTAGGTAACCATATGTTTGCATACCCAAAAGACATTGTTTGGAAAGATGTGCAATTTAGCCTTTCTTGGCTCACTTTCAGGCAATGAGGTGAAGGTGTATTCTGCTCACACCCCGTGATATGTGCACATTGTAAGTCTTCTGGAATGGCTACATTTGGAGTATGTAAAGCTAAAGCATCAGTGGGTAGAAACTTGGAAATGTGACCCCAGCTGTACATTGTTTCATAGCCTATATGTTCTTTAAACTCGTGGTGACTGAACTCCTTGGCTGCTGTGACAGGAACACATAGGGGTATTAAACATGTGGACAGCAGATTCTCCATGTCATATGCTTCAGAAAGGCAAAAATCAGTTGTGTTGGCTAGTTTAGCCAGTTGGACCCACAAATTATATTGCATCCTTGACTCCAATGGATGGGGCATATCCTTATTCTGCTGGGACCTTTTACTTCGCTTTCTCTCTGGGCGCTTCCTCGGGGGTCTTTGGATAGTTACTCCAAATTCCACCGGGATAACATGTACGATGCAAGTCCCCTTCCATCCCGTCTTCAACTGCAAGACTAGGGTGACCCGCTCCCATCCCCAGAATAAGGGAGGCCCACACTCCAGAGTAACAGGAGGAGGAGGCTTCTTATATGGGGCCTTTACACATATGCCTTTCCTAAGAATATATCCAACATACTGACAGGCTTCGGGATTGACAGGTGGTCTTGTAATACAGGCTTCTTTAACTATTCTGTCAAATGCTTGGGGAAATTGACAAGGATGAGGCCAGCTACCATTCCAGCATTCTGGGGAAAATCCAATAGGGGGGTGACCTTCACAAGTGCCCGTGCCTATAGCATAAGATTGAATAATGCGTGGAGCTTCTTCTGGCTTGCTCCATTGGCCTAAATTAGAAAGACAAACATTATTACATGCAACAATAGTACTATATAAAAGCAGAAGGAAGCCCTTCATCCTTTCTTCTTCCGTGCGTAGAAAGCCAGCTTCCGGGTGTGGCTTAGCAGGGGGTTGAATTTCAGCCAGACAGCCGTAGATCTTCTCCCGTGCGTAGAAAGCCAGCTTCTGGGTGTGGCTTAGCAGGGGGTTGAATTTCAGCCAGACAGCCGTAGATATATGTGCAGGATACACTTGTGCTAATACAATATCTGGTTTACAACAATAAAATATTCATTACACATACTAGACACGTTTAAGAGTGAGTTTGGTGGGAACCTTGGGATCCCTGTTCACTGTCCACAGAGGTTCTGCAGCTGCTTTAACTCTGGTCCAGTGGATCCAAGATTTAGATTCTGCAATCTTTATTGCTAAAGGGGAGGCCATTATTACTTCATAAGGTCCTTTCCATCTCCCCTCCAGTTGTTCATGTTTCCAATGTTTCACCCACACCCTATCCCCTGGTTTAAAGGGATGACATCTTGTTATTAGTTTAGGAGGTGTTTGTTCAACAACATAATTCCTAAGTTTTTCCACTTGCTTATTCAGTTCCTGCACCATTTTCAGAGCCCATACTCCCCCCTGATGGCCCAAATCAGGCCATCCAGCCAAACTTCTTCTCAGCAGCGTAGGAGGACGCCCAAACATCACTCATATGGGGATAGGTTGTATTGTCTACGTGGAGCACATCTCACAGCGTAGAGAGCTAAGGGCAATGCATCAGGCCATTTCAGGTGACTTTCAGCACAGATCTTAGTAATTTTCTCTTTCAGTGTGCGATTCATTCGTTCAGAATTCGAACCGGACTGAGGATGAAAAGCACAATGAAACCGCCATTTGGATCCCACAGCAGTAGCCACTGCTTGATTAACTTGATGAACAAACTCAGGACCATTATCAGAGGAAATAAAAGACGGGCAACCAAAACGAGGTATTAGTTCTTTTAACAATAGTCTTGCCACTTCCCTGGCTTGTTTAGTCTTTGTAGGGAAAGCCTCTGGCCAGCCAGTGTATTTATCCACAAATACCAATAAAGCTTTGTATAGTCCACATCTTGGCATGTCTGTAAAGTCAACCATGACAGAGTCCATAGGAAAGTAAGAGACAGGTATGGTTCCAGGTGGTAGTAGGGGCCCTTGTCGAGGATTGACCTTAGCACAGATGCCGCATTGTGAAACCACTTGAGCAGCTATCCCAGCCGACCCATGTACATAGTAATCCCTCCCAATAGCAGCATCCAATCCAGTTTTCCCCATGTGTGTTGTTTCATGTGCTGCCTGAAATAAAGCCCATGCTGAAGATTGAGGGACAAAAATACGTCCATCAGGCAAAAGATACCACCCATCCTTAATAGTAGCTTTGAGATCATTCACTGCTTTCACACACTCCTGCTGAGAGTATGTTGGTTTAATGATAGGAGGCAAGTCCCCTATGTCTATTGCCACACATATTGATAGATCAGGAATGGGCCCTGTTTTCATTGCCACCTTCTTAGCTTCCAAGTCAGCTCTTCTATTCCCTTGAGCCACCCGATCCACCCTTTGTGATGTCCTTTGCAATGCATCACAGAAACTTTTGCTGGTTTCTGCACAGCATCGAGAAGTCGCTTGATCAAATGTCCATGCAACACATGTTTGCTCGCAGAATCCCTGAATCCCCTTTCCTTATACACAGTCCCATGAGCATGCAGAGTCAAAAAAGCATATTTACTATCTGTCCAGACATTTAAAGTTTCCCCTTCAGCTCTTTCCAATGCTCTAATTAATGCCCACAATTCTGCCACTTGAGCACTGCAGTTTGCTCCTAGCGGACTACTTTCCACCACTTCCTCATCATTCACAATCGCATATCCAGAAACCCTCCTCCCATCCTGCATGTAACTCGAGCCGTCTGTATACCAATTTAGGGCAGCATCCTGAAGAGGAATATCAGATAAATCCGGACGGCTTGAATATACAGTTTCCAAAACTTGCAAGCAGTTGTGTTCTGAATCCACTTCTGTGGGCAATAGGGTGGCAGGGTTTAGCCGGTTAGACACCACTAATTTCACTTGAGGATTTTCAATCATCATCGCCTGATACTTAAAAAGCCTTTGACTGCTGATCCACAAATGCCCTTTATTATCCAAGATAGAATGAACTGCATGAGGGGTGTGGACACTTATGGGACATGAGAAGGTCAATTTATTACAGTCCTGTAAAAGGACTGCTATAGCAGCAAGAACCTTCAGGCAATGTGGCCAGCCTTGGGCAACCCCATCTAATTGCTTAGATAAGTAAGCCACCGGGCGTTGCCACTGTCCTAATTGTTGAGTTAACACCCCCAAGGCAACATTCTTCCTGGTATCAACATACAAATTGAAAGGCTTCTCTAAGTTAGGCAAGGCTAAAGCTGGAGCTGAGGTGAGAGCTCGTTTCACTTCCCTAAAGGCATTCTTTTGTTCTCCCTCCCATTCAAAAGGGTCTTTATCAGCTCCTTTTGTAGCTGAATAAAGAGGTGCAGCTAATAGAGCAAAATTTGGTATCCATATCCTGCAAAACCCTGCCAGACCTAAAAAGCCCCTCAGTTGCCGCCTATTAAGGGGTTCAGCAATAGCTAGCACAGCTTGTTTCCTCTCCCAGCCTAAAGCCCTATGCCCCTCCTCAATCTCATATCCCAAATATTTCACCTTCCGTCTGACTAATTGTGCCTTCTTTTTGGAGACCCTATAGCCGCACTTCAACAGTAAGTGTAAAAGATATTTCGTGTTCTCCCAGCATGTCTCTTCAGTTCTGCCTGTCACCAGCACATCATCTACATATTGCAGAAGCGTGTCACCCCTCTGTCGGGGCACAAAATGCTGTAAATCTTCTGCTAAGGCTGTTCCAAAGAGGGTAGGTGAATTTTTAAAGCCCTGTGGCAGCCTGGTCCAGGTATACTGTGCTTTTTGCCCAGTATTTGGATTTTCCCACTCAAAAGCAAACAACGGCTGGCTAGCCTTGTGAATAGGAATCGTGAAAAAAGCATGTTTCAAATCCACAACTGAAAACCACTTTGCAGTTGGAGGAATTAAGCTCAACAACGTGTAGGGGTTGGGCACAACAGGATGGATCGTGACAGTTATGGAGTTTATGAGTCTTAGGTCCTGTGCTGGCCGAAAGGAACCATCGGGCTTTTTAATAGGCAGGATAGGGGTGTTCCAAGGTGATTGGATGGGCACCAAAATGCCTGCTTTTAAATAGTTTTGGATGCTCTCATATATAGCAGTTATAGCCTCCTTGGAGCAAGATCTCTGTCTGATACGCACAGGCGTTGCTAAAGGTTTCATTTCCACAATCACAGGGGGGTGGTGAGCTGCGAAACCAGGGGGGTTATCCTCAGCCCACAGCCCCGGCACTCCAAACTCCCTCCATGTCTCATCCACAACCTCCTCTTCCACAGTCCTGTTAACCATCAATCTCCACATTGCCTCTGGCTGGTGTTTAATCTGAAGTGTTTGTTGTCCCTCATCAAAAGAAATAGTGGCCCCTAGCTTGCTAAGTAGGTCCCTACCTAGCAGGGAAACCGGACATTCGGGGACAAATAAGAACTCGTGTTGAATCTTTGAGCCCTCAAACACACACGTGACAGGCTGTAAGACCGAACGCCCTAGAATCTCCCCTGACACTCCTTGAATCTGAATTTTATGGGGTCCTATTTCAGCAACTTGATTATTCACAACTGATCTGCCTGCTCCAGTATCCACCAAAAACGTTGTCTGTTTGCCCCCTATATTTAAAGTAACCAATGGCTCAGGGGGGGCTTCCTCCAAGCCAGATCCCCGTCAATCCGACCAGTTAGTTCCTGCCAATCCAATTCCTTCAATCTCCCTGTCTCTATTCCAATTTGTCCCATTCCTCAGACCATCTCCTACATTCCTCAGACCATCTCTTACAATCCCTGGAGCCCCTCTCTGCCCTCTACCCATGAAGGGGGAGCGCATGGGGGGCCCATTGCCAACACCTCCACGGCCTCTTCCTCCTCTTCCTCTCCAACCTCTACCTCGCATCTGCCTTCTTGGACATTCCCTTTGCCAATGCCCTTCCTCCTTACAATTAGCACACTGATTAGGTCTCAGCATGATCCCTCCTTGCAATGCCACAGCCAACAACTCAGTTTTCTTATGCATTCTAGCATTTCTTTCCTGTTTTTCCACCTTATCCCTATTAACAAACACTTTCCTAGCCACCTCCAACAATTCTGTAGTGTTCTTTCCTAATGCTCCTTCTAACCTCTGCAACTTCTTCCTTATATCATCATAACTCTGCGCTATGAATCTCTCATTCAACATCCGCACATTGTCTGCACTCCTTGGATCCACCTGTGTATAAAGCTCATAAGCTTCAATCAGCCTCTGCAAGAAACTTTCCGGACTTTCATCTGCTTCCTGCATCACTAAAGAGGGTTTTGACATATTCACAGGAGGCTTTCCAGCCTTGCGAAGAGCCTCCACCACTAGATTCTGATATTCCTTTAACAAAGTCATATGTGCTGGATTTTGTGCATTCCATTCAGGGTCCTTTTCTGGTGCCCTGGCTTCCATCTCTGGCTGTATATCCCGCACAGCCGGCAACCTATCCTTCAAACACTGCCTAACCGCAGTTCTCCACTTCTCCTTTTCCTCAGGAGTCAACAAAGTATCTAACAACTGTTGCACATCCTGCCACGTTGGATTATGGGTGCGCATAATGGTCTGAAACAAGCTTGCCATTTCAGCCGGCTTAGTAGTCAAAGGGCCAAAATGTTCCTTCCAGTTCAAAAGATCCGTCGTAGTGAACGGAACATACTGGAACATGGACTTAATCTGTACGGCTCCCTGCTGATCTGGCACTGCCTGGTCCACCTGTCTCAAGGGAGCTACCACTTCAGGTCTTACAGCCTTAGCCTTTGCAGCAGCCGCTCGCGTCTCAATGCCAGATGCCACAGCCGTTCCTGCATCGCTTTCTATCTCATCCTCTTCACCCAGCTCCTTCCTAACTTCCAAAGGGAAATCTGTCTCCCGTAGCTCCCTTTCCTCCATAGGGGCAGACGGCTTCCCTTTCTGTTTTCGTCTCACAGCTGGCTGCCTTTCTTCAGACACAGCAGGGGTAATCAGCCCTTCCTCCGGCAGAGCGGCTGCTGCCGCAGCCGGCACTGGGGGGAGGGGGAGAGAGGTGGAACGTAGGGAGGAGGTCTGAGAATCAACTCCTCTACCTCCCTCCTTATCTCCTTCTTAGCATCTGACACCTTGGTTTCTGAAATCTTCACATCCTTCACTCTTTTAGTTCGCACTTGAAGCTTTTTTTCTTTGGGTATAGCCACACACAAACGAACCATCTCAGCCTGACACTCCAACAAATCCTCTGCCTGTCCTGCAACCGCATCCCCCCACTGATCAATATACGGAAATTGGTTAGGATATTTTTCTTCATTTGCTGCTATCAGGGAGGTTAGGTTATCAATGATTTGAAGGTTAAAAGTTCCGTCTGGGGGCCACCCCACCTCCATGAAGGGCCATTGATATTCACACAGATACCTCAGTCTATCCTTAGTTACTTTAGGGTAAGGGACCCTATACTGGGTACGATTAAAATAATTATCAAATCCTTTTACCATGCATTCCAGCGGGGTGCTGGGAACGCTACTACGCCCCCCCATCCTAACACACTGCCAATGACCTACAGCGCCGGACGTTCCAACGGTCACTAGTAGGGAATGCACTGGCTTAACCACCCACACAACCTAACACGGACTTCTTTAGGATCGCCGTCCCGAGTCCAGGGGAGTGATCAGGCCCCCTCTTCTATCTTCAAATGAGATAGGTACCATTACTTTAAACACATACTCGCCTGCCTTGTAGTTACACCCGTCCTGGCCAGGAGTTGGTTCAGACTTCCTTTCCTTTCCCAAAGGGTTCTTGGACTGGCCTTCAGTACTGTCGGCTCTGCTGCGAAGCCACAGCTGTCTCCTGGAGGAAACACACCCCCATGGCGCCTGGAGAATTGTTCAGAGATGGCTTACCAGCAGGTCCGAAGGGTCCAGCTGTCCTCAGCGAAATATCGCCTCACTCAAGCTTTTCCCGGCCAATGCACCAGAAAATGTTATAGAATTGAAAAACTTGAATCAGCTCTTTCAGGAAAGGGAAGTTTATTGCGCGCGCAGGTTCAGAGAGCCATCCTGGCTGTAGAAATCTGAACTCAGATTGTACATTGATGACCATTTTTATAACCCTTTCTGGCGGGGGTTATTCTATAGGTCCTTATTCTAACATAGAAAAACTACTAGACAGATCTATAATCCTCGTTTACATTGGAATGTTTTTAGCAATCAGCAATATATCAAGTGTTAAGCAATTTAGATATACCATGTGACAGGCAGTTAGTAATATATCATGTGCAGAGCTGGGAACAGGATATCTGGCCATCCTAAATTTAAGAGTTGTCTTGTAAGCAAAACAAACCTCTCTTTTACCCACATTTTTGTTGGGCCATCTGCTTTTTATACACATCCTTTGTCGGACCAGTATTTTTCCAGGTACCACTTTACATTGACCTTTTTCTGGCATTATTTTCAGCCATGTGATGTGCAGTAATAATACATTTGTATATGTGTTTAAAAAGTTTTTACTCAAAGATTATGAGTAGAAATGTTTAGGCATTTATTATATGCAGTCATAAATACAAGTATCATGATTCTATTTGGAATAGTGTTTGTATTTAATGACAACAGAATTTCTGCAACCTGTGATAAATATCTTGCTAAGATTGTCTTGGTTGACACAAAACTCTTCACTTTTTTGTTCTTACATCCTTACCCTGGACCCCCCCATGCTGGAGAAAATTATGACTTTTTAATCTATTTAGGAAAATACTGCTCCTCCCCAGTTTAATGATTTTAGAGAATTTCTCTTTGCCTGCATTTCTCAAGGTGGGTAAAGTCAAGATTGACTGTTGCAAAAGAATGTAGGGAATTCCCATTTTTCAGGAATGGGTTTCTCTTCTGTATTGGAAAAAGTAAATTACAGACTGTTATATGAGGTTGTTTGCTATGTAACTCTTTACTCGTCCCACCCCAGCCCAAGTTGTGTCATTATCATTCTTGGAAGTTATCTTATATGAGAGAGCATGTGTTCAGTTTTTTTCTTTTTCATATGTTATTACACCTATATTCTATGTCATATATTACAACACTATTATCTGCAGTCATAAATATGAACATCATGGTTCTGTTTGGAGTAATGTTTGTATTTAATGACAATAGAATTCCTGCAACCTGTGATAAACATCTTGCTAAGACTGAGATCTGTCATACATTACAACACATACTCATATATTACAACTCATACTTTAGTATTAACCTGCTAAAGTAAACTTTAGTATGTATTAAACTTTTTGTTTAAATCTTTTGCAGATATTTCTTCTTAAGTCATAACAGAATTAAGTGGAATGGAATTTTAAAAACTGCAATTCTTTACCTCCAGAAAAAAAATGCTTAGTAGGGACTTCTGGTTTGTCATGCAGCTGCCATGGATGGCTGGAGATTTACTCTCTCTCCCCCCTTCAAATCTGCATCGCTGGGGGGCTCTAAAAAGGGCCAAAAGTTGCCCCAAAGAAGCAACCAGCAAGGAGGGGCTGGATCACGGGAGAGCAGCAACTCTCCCGTTAGAGCTGGCGATCTCTCCAAACCAGCGGATGAAAGGACCGGCCATAAAAATATGGCTCATCCCTAGGCTGCTAACAGCCGAAGTCACATTTACCATCTGGCAACTTTAAAGCAGCGCGGAAGATACTGGGTGAGATCTGCCTCTCTTACATCCAAATTACTTAATTACCTACATAAGCTGCTAAAGTACTTTTCCCCCTGTGGTGAGGGAAGGGGAATTTTAGCCCTCCCTCCAGAAAGACCAACAATCAACTACTCAGGGGAGTTTAAAACATTGGAAAAATACTGGGATCCTAATTGGAATTCTATTTCCTAAAATTGGTGGATTATAAGACTTGTAACTTTCTACTCTCTATTTTTTTTCTCTGATTTTTACTCTAACTATTATTGAAGATTTGGGTTTTTTTCCCCCTTAAAATAAAGGGAGGGATTCAAAAGATCCATCTAACTCTGAGATGACATCTCAGGCTAAATTTGAGACTGTAACCTGCTATTCTTTAAGAGAGATGTTGACAGCTTTGAAAATAGATAAGATATAAAGCAACCTTGAAGCACCAGCTGCAAGAATCTCAGTTTAGCTCCTCATTTGGTGGACTTTCTGACTGAAGAACAGGAACAAATTCTTTGTATGTTAAAAGTGATTATCCAAACTGTCCGTATAAGTCTGGATATACAAACTCAAACTATGACTTCAACCAAAGAATCATCTTTACATAATTCTATAATTCTATAATTCAGTGGTGGAAGACCTATGGCACGCATGCCAGAGGCAGCACTCAGAGCCCTCTCTGTGGGCATGTGTGCCATGAACCGGAGATGGCAACCATCCCTCTTCAACCAGCTGCCTGAGGTCCCATGTGGCCAGATGCATCCCAGAACAGCTGGTTTCCCTCCCCCCGTCCCATCCCTCCTGGCCTCACATGCTCTCCTTTTCCCAGGCATGACCCACTGCAACATCCCCTGAGCTGTCGGCTGGCCATCCAGCTCAGAGGCAGCTTCTCTGAACTGCTGGTGGCGGGCTGCGGAGCCTCAGAGTGTGCTGTTCAAAGTGCTGGCAGGCTGTGGCTGCTGATGGACACTGTTGACCCCAAGTGCATGCTGGCCTCTGTGTACAGGGGCCAATGGTGTCAGGCAGCAGCCGCCCCGACCCCTGCCTTGCCTTGCCCTGCGAAATGGCACTGCTGCCCTGCCTTGGCTTGCCTCACCTCACCCTGCAGGACGAGCCTCCTGCCTGTCAGATCCTGTGAGGCCTTACCAACGGAATGGATGGCCTGCCTCCCCAGTTGAGTCCATTCGCTGTTGCTGTGTGGCTGACCACAGTTTTCCCCTAATGATGTCAGTGTGGCTGACATAATTAGGGGGCACCGATGACATCATCAGGAGGCGCCTGACTCCCTTTGCTTCTCCTCAGACAACTGACATCAGTAGGGGACACCGACGATGTGATCAGGAGGCGCCCGACTCCCTTTGCTTCTTGGACAACTTTTCGCAGCTCGTTCCAGCCTCGACGGGTCCTACAGAGCCTTGGTGGACTGTGAGACTGGGTGGTGGGAGAGACGGACCGATTCGCTGGAGGTCTGCGGGGCTGTAAGACTGTGTGGTGGGAGAGATGGACTGATTCACTGGAGGTCTGTGGGGCCACAGTATAATGGCGAACAGGGAAGGGCACAGGGGCGGAGTGACAGGCAAGGGAGGGGCTGGATACTGAACAGCTACTACCTTTTATCACCTAATCGTGGCTTGTTAGGATGGGGCAGGGCCAGGTAGGGGTGGAGTCTGGGACAGGGTGGGGTGTGCTTGCATCAGAGAAGTAAAATTAGATTCGTGTTCAAAGACAGTATTGTTTGAGGATGCAGAAAAGGCAGCTCTGTTGCAGGACGCTTGGATATTGAATAATCCCAGATTATTGACACAACAAGATGGTTTAGCTTGGTATGGCACCAAATTATATGTTCCCCAGGGGCTGCAGGGCGGGTATATCACCGTTGCCATGATTCCAAACAAGCTGGGCATTTTGGTTTCCTAAAGACGTGGCCAGACATTGGGATGGATTTTATAGTAGACCTACCAGAGGTGCGGGGCTACATGGTGATATGGATGGTAGTAGGCTTATTTTCTAAACAGGCCCATTTTATACCCTGCAAGGGGTTGCCGTCGGCGAGAAGGCTAGCTAAAATGTTTTTGGTACATGTTTATCATTTACATGGAGCACCACATCGAATTATCTTGGACCGAGGAGCACAGTTTACAGCTCAGTTTGGGCGACAATTTGTCCGGTTTATCGGTTCCACCCAAGGCCTCAGTTCGGCATACCATCCCACTACTAACGGGGCGGCGGAACGGGCCAACTCCATCATGGAAAGATAACTGAGGAGCTAT